TACACTTTACTTTTTGATGTGTTAAAATTTCATGAGAAACCAATATGTGTTGTTGGAAAAATTTCACGGCTGTGAACAGAATACTAACCTTTAGCTTTAAAATTTTGTGATGATGTTTGTCAAGTTGGAAAGTGGTTTTCAACATGGCTTCACTTAAATTTAATTTACTATTACTCAAATATAGTTCGATTCAAAATCTGTTCGCTTTCTTAAAAACCACATTAAATTAGCTACAATTTTAAGTATTTTAATTTTGGAAAAATTACTACTATCGGGAAAATCCTAGCGAATAAATTTGAAAATTCGGGAAAAATAGTACCAAATAGTCACTTTAGGCCGCGCGGGTAACTCTCTAGTTAGTTGTATTAAAAAACTGAGTACGCCATTCACTTTAGCGGCTTATTCTTCATGAGGTTGGATATCTTTTTTTTCTTCCTTGTGCAAGATTAATGTTTTTTCATATAAGAACCTAACCTACAGTAAAACAGTCTTATAAATCCCGGATTTCGGAGTAGCTCATTCAGTTTCTGCAACGAATATTTTGTTTTTCATTTTGTTAGGTTCTTAGCGTCCTATTTTCATATTCTGCTGCCGAAGGGAGGATCTGAAATACTTAAGGAAAATAAGACATCTAATGTACATAGATGCGTCCATGGTTACTATGCCCCACAGCTCCGCATACCTTTGTGAGTTCATTTCCATAGCGCGCTCTTACTCCACTACTATAATTGCAAATGTGACAGAATCCATAATTTTCTTCAAAATATTTAAAATCAAACAATTTTACCATAAACAAGCACTTGATGAGCATAACTACGGTGACCATATTTGTGAGACCCGAATACGGGACAAAAAAAAATTTTGCAAATTTTTTCCACAACAGATTACAGATCTTAAAGCCTTCTTCAATGATCCTAGATGTATTAGCCCTGAAACAGTATTCTTTTAGTAACATCACAAATTTGTAGGATAATTTTCTCAAGATTTTTACCGCGTAAAATTTGTTAAAAAAATTCGTTAAATTTTAGTATAATAAAGTACAATTTTAAGTCGCTAAGGCTTACCATTAATTTTTATTTATTTTTTTTTTGTTGACGGTGTTACGCATTTTTTTCATACAAAGCATGATCAAAATATAGCAAGGTAGAACCGTTCTCTCAATTTGTCGGCCATGATTTTTTTTTGAAGTTTGCCAACATTTTAAAATCATATAAAACTGAAAATAAAAAAATGAAATTGTTGTTGCTTGAGATTGAAAATGAAAATGTGTGTGTGAGTTTGTGAGTAAATTTAAAAATTAAAATGTTTGGAAACGTCAAGAATTTTAAAAGTAACTCTCAGCGGTTCTACCTTACTATATTTTTATCATGATACAAAGTATGTTCGACCGTTTTTTTGAAAGAGAAGCAAATGAGCAGCACTTTCCACTCGCACTTTATTATACTCAATTAGAATGAGTTACAAAACTGCAAACCAAATTTTTTTCTGCAGATTCTAATTAAAAAGTTTGAAATTTTGGTGAAACATTGCAGAATTAATTTTTATAGTTTTTTGCACAAAGTTGGAAATTTGATATCATATGGGTTTTGTTAGGAAAAGAGCTTTACTTTAATAAAATAAATAATAAACATTAAATAAAGTAAGCAAAAACAGCCAAAACATACTAAAATGTCGAGTCCTAATTTTTTTTGGTCACAGCATGTATTCCCCGATTCGAGTCACAGGTATTCAGATTAGAAAATATTAACTGTTCATGGAGAAAATTACGATCATATACAACATCACTTAAAACTCCTTCATAGGCATGCCATTTTAATGAGCTGTTAAGGCGTCGAAACACCGAATACGGGACAAATACAGGACATTAAAAGAAATACAGAACATTTGGCGTCCCGTATAAAATAAATAAATTACCAGGACGGATGGTCACCGTAAGCATAACACAAGCTCTGTAAATAGTTCCTAGTAGGGTGCCATAGACGCGGACACCCGAACAGCAGAGCCCTCGCCAAAGCACGTCAAGAAACATCTATACGAACTGATGGACAAAGTCCAGAGGTTTATAAAAGAACCTCTGGATCCGAAAGCATACCGGCAGGCCATAAACGGCATTCACAGGGTGTCGGTCTCAACCTACATCGACTCCCGACATGTGAATGCCGAACCACCCGACGTGGACGGGAGACTCGCACCACAATAGCCTAACTTCGCTCTGGCTATTGCCGCAGGCTAACCTCGTACCAGAACACAGTGAACGCAGATGTACGCAACTGCATTGGAGCCCCGGCAAACGGAGAGCCGCCACATGACTCACGGCACCTCTTCGCATGTTCCCAAAATCCCACCCAGCTAACGCCCTTCTCCCTATGGACAAACCCCGTGGAACCTGCGCACTTCCTGGGTCTCCCGTTAGCTGAGCCTGACGACAACGTTTGATGGACAAGCCGATCAGAGCGAGGTTGAGTAGCCGCAACAACAACAACAACAGAACAGTATCAGCTGAGCAGTTGCAACAGTGTGACAAACTTTTATAATCAGGGCTATCACTGAATCCACCGTAGTCAAATTGTTTGTGAACTCTACGAAAGTGCTATCACTGAATGTAACAAAGCCATTTGGTCAAGAAGCCAAGTGTTGCGTGTGTTCTGCAACATAAACTATCTCAACCTATACCTACAACCCATATGCAGCGCAGCTGAGTATCTAATACAGCGATGAGCAGAGAGAGCTCTTACTCTGCACGCGCCTATACAAAATGTATAGAAAGCTTGAAAGAGCTTTGGCCGCGGGCAAGGCAGTGCCCATAACCGATCTAATACTGTCACCGCCTGACCAGTCGCGTTCGATGTACGCGTATTTGGGTGGATTGGTGTGAATGTTCGATGTCCAAGTAGTTGAAATAGAAAGTTCGAAGAGGGACGTGTCAAGCCGATCGGCTCGTTTGTGGGTTGTGAAGGAGGATTTTTTTTTTGTTAAACCTAGATACGATCACCAGCTTAATAACAAAATTAATAGAAAAATCAGTTGGTGAAGGCAGTTTAAAGTGCGGAGGCATTAATATTCAGCTTGTTGTTTAGCAATAAACAGTTAAGGGTACAGTTCAAAAATAAAAGACAATTTATTATAATAGTTGCTAGCCGAATACCGTCAGCCACCGGGACATTCAGCAGTCCAAAAGAAACTACTATTCCCGCCTTGTTTGAGGTAAGCACGCATTTTCGATTACATTTATTGATTCTGACATATGTACGAATTGCCCTAAATAAATTGGCATAAAGTGAAAAATAGGGGGATGATGAAATGGACATGCGTATTTTCAATAGAATAAAAATAAGTTATCTAAAGTAAGTTGAGACGGAATTTTACAAAGGAAAAAAGGATATAAATGATACACCTAAGCTACTAACATAAAATAAGCTGGCCTAATAGGCATAGATTATGAGGATGGGGTGAGCAGGAGGGCAAACGTATGCACAAACAAAAAAACACATGAGCATAGAAGTGTGGATTCCAAATTTATTGTGGTAAATTCGGGTTTTTTATTTGGACCAGTGTACAAGAGCTGCGACATCGCTCATCCCACGGATACGTATTCATATATGGGCATAAATCGAACAGCAACCATAAGGAATACTGGAAGTCGTACACACCCACATACATACCGGAGTAGTGGCTTGGATTCGGTTGAGCTGCTGCAGAGACTAAAGCCCAGCTGGAAGAAAAGGGGAAAATCTGGAAACTGGATAGAGAATTTGGTTCGACAGGAGCGAACATATTTCTACTCGCCCATTATTTCCAGCGCTGTTCCTCCTACCTGCGCTCGCCCTTGACTCGTTGGAGTGAACGAGCGCGATTTCGCCGTTGCACCGGCTGTAGGCACTACATTCGCTATCCTTATTATTTTTGTTATCTCGATTTACTTTTTTGTCTTGCACAAACGCAATTAGCGCTAGCAGTAGAAAGCTTATTCCCTTTCTTTTGTTTCTAAGCTGTGATATGCACTGGATTAGCTCTTTACGCTACTATTTCAAATTGAGGATTTTTCACCATGTTTAAGCTAAGTGTTTTTTGCCTTTCGCGCTGAATTGTAATAACGTTTAATCAAACTTAAACTTTAAATATTTTAATGTTTAAGTTATGCCTTTTTCGGTATAACTTCCTTTTACCTCTTTGCTGAATTTTAAAACCATTTACTCGGAATTCATAATTGGATTATATTTAGTATTTTTAAGTTATATCGTTTTATTAGTAATTATTTTTCTTACTGTTTAAGCGACTTAAGCATTTCCCGCATAAACCAAGTGCAGCGAACACACACACGCACTTGTATTGCACTTCCGTCCAAAACCAAGTGCAGCGAACAAACACACGCACTTGTGTTTAAAAGTAATTCGCTCGTTCTTAATTGGGTATGCATTTTTTCTGTAATTCTCTAATATCTCTTCGCTGAACTTTGTGAAGGATAAGTCGCTGACATTTTCAGCTATGGTCAACGCTCAACCAGCTTGGCTATCACTTTAAGCATCGCTCCCACTCCACTCCCGGAGTAATTTTTGGTATCCATGAATGCATTCCTGAATAAATCCAAGCTCATTGCACAGCAGCCTACTGCAGCTAGAGCATGACTCCTCCAATGGAGTCCCCCAATTGATACATGGTGAAAGGGTAACATCTTGCGCAACCGCCTCATCAGCCTGCCCGCATATCTCACTATCTCCCTCCCTCTCACTCTCGCATAGCAGGCATATGGAATGCGTGGTTGGCTTGATGTGCACCTATACACCATTCGGACTCATTGAGCTCGATACATAAACATGGCAAATCGAGCTGAACGAGCCCGAATGGTGTATAGGTGCACATCAAGCCAACCACGCACTCCATATGCCTGCTATGCGAGAGTGAGATATGCGGGCAGGCTGATGAAGCGGTAGCGCAAGATGTGACCCTTTTACCATGTATCAATTGGGGGACTCCGTAGGCTGCTGTGCAATGAACTGGGATTTATTCAGGGATGCATTCATGCAGAGCCCCAGTGGGGCTTGTAAGCCGTAGCTTACTACCATACCAAAAATTACTCCGGGAGTGGAATGGGAGCGATGCTTAAAGCACCGTGTGATACCCAAGCTGGTTGAGCGTTGACCATCGTGATAAGCCAAGCAGGTTTAGCGTTGACCATTGTGATGACCCAAGCTGGGTTAGCATTGACCATTGTGATGAGCCAAGCTGGGTTAGCATTGACCATGCTGGAATAGCTTTTTCGCTGAATTTCAATTCCATCTGTTCCCACCCCACGAATGAATTATCTTTGGTAATTTTAAGTTATGCTTTCCTCATATAATTTTGGTTAGAGTTTCACCACTGAATTCTGTAGAAAAAAAAAAAATTTATTTTTTTAAGTAATTAATATTTATAATCGCTATTTGCACTACGTAACCTTCAGCATTTTTAGTCAAGCATTGTCAAAAAATTATTAAAAATATATAAGTGCAAAACTGTAACATATGCCTTAATTTACATTTTTGTCTGCTGGTTTTATTATTGTTGTTGGATTGACTTCAAATCTTTATGAGAGAGGGAGTAGGCGTGTACCAATAAGAATATACAACAAAAGTATGAATGTCGTTAGAACTTGGGAAGATAGCGGTGGCTGAAATAAAAAGTGTTACATGTTACAGTTTTGCTCGACATTGTACTTACGCTTTTAACCGCCTGCCAAAAAGGAGGTTACCAATTCGTCGGAATTATTTCTATTTCGATAATTTTTTTTTATAGGAAAGATGGTATCTCATGCATGGTCCCATACTAATCTGATTTAGTTCCGATCACTGGGTACTGAAGAAACTTACGGTACTCCTAAGTTTTTATGAGTATTGAATCTGTTTTTTTGTTTAAAAGTTAGTTATACATGTTATCCATCTGGGTAGAGAATTTGGTTCGACAGGAGCGAACATAAAGGGTGAACACACCAAAACTGCGACGCTTAGAAATTACTACCAGAAACAAACTAGAAGGCTTTGAAATTATTTGTTCTTGTATTATATAACTTGGAAGTTTAGATGTTATTAAAATGTCAAAATATTAGTTATTATTTGCTCCATATGCAAGTGATCGGTATTTTCATCGCACACGCGCCACCATTTCTGCACGACTGCATCATCGACTTTACGCGATGCGCACAACTACTATGTTTTGCACTCTTCAATATTTTTCACTGTTTCAACTGTTTTCTGCAAGATTTATTTGACAATTGGCCAATATTCCCCAATAGGACGTGGCTCTGGGCTATTGGGTAGATTGCAGTCGTGAGGTACNCTTTGACAATTGACCAATATTCCCCAATAGGACGTGGCTCTGGGCTATTGGGTGGATTGCAGTCGTGAGGTACAAAATTGATGTTATTTGCATTATACCACGGCAATGTGTCCTTGGCATAGTGGCAGGTTGCCATGTCCGCCTAGAACAGTGGCCTACTCCTTATCTGTTGATAAACGACTGAAACGCCTTTTGAGGCACTCATCCCGATAAACTTGATCATTCATTGTCCCGGATGGGAAAAAGGGCTACTCTTACGGCCACAGGATCAAATAGCTTGCCAAACCATGTGGTTTTTTGGAAATTCGGACTTCATTTTCAGCTTACAACTTTCAGGGGCATCTTGACGACTTGCACCAGTATACAAATCTTGACCTGCAATATATTTTGAATTTTTATAGCAGTAGGTTTCGTAGTCCATAACAATGCAGTTTTATTTTTTAATTTAGAATTCATACATCTTCCGAATGCAGGATTTCGCTGTAACATTCTACTTTGCGCCTCGGTCTGGCGCTGTTTGAGCTGTAGAACATCTCAATGAAGCTTTCCGCTTTACCTTTGGACGAAAAACTGCGATCTGCGTACGGGTTTTGCAACATAACGCGACACAATCTTCGGATTTCGCGAAAACGCACTGAGAACCTTCCGAGCACTGTTTTTATCACTTTGACCATGCTAACCCCCGCTCCCTGGTTTTCTCGTAACTGCCAGGCCTTATTTGTACCGATTAAAACCCTGCAAACTGTCGAATAGTGTAATCTTTAATTTTTGAGCAATTTTACGTGTACTTAAGGCCGGATCATTTATAAACTCGTACAAAATGGTTTGTCTCGTTTCTAACTCGGTTGCCATTTTTAACTCAACTAGGAATCAAATTCAAATGAAATTTCTTCTACGTCCAACTAAGGCCATGTGGTCAGCTTATGGTGTTTGAATTTCAAGATATCGAATTCGTTTTGGGTAAGTTATAAGCTTCCCAAAGTGTCGCAGTTTTGGTGTGTTCACCCTTTATTTCTACTCGCCCATTATTTCCAGCGCCGTTCCTCCTACCTGCGCTCGCCGTTGACTCGTTGGAGTGAAAGAGCTCGATTTCGCCGTTGCACCGGCTGTAGGCACTACATTCGCTGTCTTTATTATTTTTCTTATCTCGATTTACTTTTTTATCTTGCACAAACGCAATTAGCGCTAGCAGTAGAAACCGTATTCCCTTTATTTTCTTTCTAAGCTGTGATATGCACTGGATTAGCACTTTACACTACTATATCAAATTGAGGATTTTTCACCATTTTAAGCTAAGTTTTTTTCGCCTTTCGCGCTGAATTCTAATATCTTTTAATCAAACTTAAAACTTTAAATATTTTAATGTTTAAGTTATGCCTTTTTCGGTATAACTTCCTTTACCCTCTTTGCTGAATTTAACCACTTACTCGGAATTCATAATTAGATTATATTTAGTATTTTTGAGTTATATCGTTTTATTACTAATTATTTTTCTTACCTTTTTCGCTGAATTTCAATTCCATCTGTTCCCACCTGACGAATGAATTATCTTTGGTAATTTTAAGTTATACTTTCCTCATGTAATTTTGGTTAGAGTTTCACAACTGAATTCTGTAGAAAAAAAAATATTTTTTTAAAGTAATTGATTTTTAGAATCGCTATTTGAACTACGTAACCTTCAGCATTTTTAGTCTCTGATCCCGGCACATAAGCGCCCGTCAGTTTTTTTTGTTCCCGGTAGATTTTCTATTTCTCATTAAGAAATTAACGTAAAATTATTATTCGTATTACCGCGTGCTTTTTCACCGATGTTCATTTCACCACGTGTAGTTTTGTATTGCCTTGTTTTTTGTGGGCATTCAAACATACTAAAGTTCCACTAAGGCTCCGATTTTTTTGGTTATATTTTTTGTTAAACAAATTTTAGTGTAATAGCTTCAGTTTTTATTCACCGGTTTTTGTCCTGCGGGTAGACGTAGTCGCGTGGAACTGATCGCTGACTCGCTACTAATCCACTAGTACTAATGAGTGAACTCGATTAAGAATCATTTCCATTCAGCATTTATCATCACTGAATTATATATGTATGTATTTTTTTTGGCATTTGCTCTCCCGATGCTGGTACCAACGTCCACGGAGTGAACCGGTTAGTGACATTTCAGTGAACTATTCATATTATTATAGCTAAACATACATATGCACATATACTAGTTTTTTTTGCAACCGTATGAACAAAAAAAACGGGGAGATAACCTGTACTTAGGTGTACTAGTTTATGCAAAATTAATAAATATCTAAAGGTTACCATAAAGTAGGTTTAAGTTAGATATAACGGGTGATTTTTTTGAGGTTAGGATTTTCATGCATTAGTATTTGACAGATCACGTGGGATTTCAGACATGGTGTCAAAGAGAAAGATGCTCAGTATGCTTTGACATTTCATCATGAATAGACTTACTAACGAGCAACGCTTGCAAATCATTGAATTTTATTACCAAAATCAGTGTTCGGTTCGAAATGTGTTTCGCAAACCCAATTGCTGCGAACGGCGACGAATCGACATTTCACGGTCTTCAGCAACACTCTCAGAAACAGACGCAATATTCTCTTCTGTACGCACTGTACGCATTCGTGTGGTTGGTTTAATGTCCAATAAAGTAAACTGATTAATNTAAGCTTCCCAAAGTGTCGCAGTTTTGGTGTGTTCACCCTTTATTTCTACTCGCCCATTATTTCCAGCGCCGTTCCTCCTACCTGCGCTCGCCGTTGACTCGTTGGAGTGAAAGAGCTCGATTTCGCCGTTGCACCGGCTGTAGGCACTACATTCGCTGTCTTTATTATTTTTCTTATCTCGATTTACTTTTTTATCTTGCACAAACGCAATTAGCGCTAGCAGTAGAAACCGTATTCCCTTTATTTTCTTTCTAAGCTGTGATATGCACTGGATTAGCACTTTACACTACTATATCAAATTGAGGATTTTTCACCATTTTAAGCTAAGTTTTTTTCGCCTTTCGCGCTGAATTCTAATATCTTTTAATCAAACTTAAAACTTTAAATATTTTAATGTTTAAGTTATGCCTTTTTCGGTATAACTTCCTTTACCCTCTTTGCTGAATTTAACCACTTACTCGGAATTCATAATTAGATTATATTTAGTATTTTTGAGTTATATCGTTTTATTACTAATTATTTTTCTTACCTTTTTCGCTGAATTTCAATTCCATCTGTTCCCACCTGACGAATGAATTATCTTTGGTAATTTTAAGTTATACTTTCCTCATGTAATTTTGGTTAGAGTTTNCGAACCGAACACTGATTTTGGTAATAAAATTCAATGATTTGCAAGCGTTGCTCGTTAGTAAGTCTATTCATGATGAAATGTCAAAGCATACTGAGCATCTTTCTCTTTGACACCATGTCTGAAATCCCACGTGATCTGTCAAATACTAATGCATGAAAATCCTAACCTCAAAAAAATCACCCGTTACGTGTGTCATAGTAGCACAGAGTTTTCACCTTTGGAATATATATCCACTAGTAGTTTAGCGGAATAGTATAGTGGGTAGTTGATCACTATGAAGGACGGGCGACTGACTTGACATGACGATTTGACGTACGAACTACGGCCAGGAAAGGGAACTCCACTCGCGTGGTCGGAGCCTCAGTGGAGTTCAAGGCTGTTGTCTCTTAACACACAGATGGGGTGGGATGGCTCCACCTGACAGGACAGTCTTCTACCGCTATCTCTGAATCTGTTTCTCTATAGTTACGTGTCTTATTTCTTTTCCCAGGCATGATATTGTTTTTTTGTTGGTGGCCGACGAGCTCAAGCCGGGCTGCCAGTATGCCTAACCTGCCACCGCTCCCTCCCAGAACAAGCAGAACCACAACAATGGCACCCAACGTGCAATAGCTCAACATCGTTTCTTTATAGATTTCGTAAATTACCTGTACTATCCATTTAAATCTGCTTACTCTTCTTTATCTTTTCTACTTCGATCAATTTTCTTTTTTTTCTTCTTCGGACAGTGTAGGCTTCTATTGGACAGCTTCACCTAGGCTCGGACCATGGTGAATGTGTATAGTAGATAACAGGGGGGTAGGTATGTTGATCTTGCCTTGGGAGTACCTTTACGAACTTTCAAAAGTTTGAACAAGAGATATCCTAATGCAAGACAACAGATGTTTCAATCAAATACTTTATTTGTTTCTATATAGAAGCCGATGGCAGGCTACCCATGAGTAGGTTGCGGCAACTGGCTCTTGTGAGGTTTGCTACACGGTTTCAAGGGGGTATGGGGTAGTTTATATTAATTTAAATTGGACGCGTTCGCAGCTACAAAGGCCCAGGTCAATTATAGCTTGAAGGGGCGCGTCTAACCGAATGGGGAATTTATATGACATTGACTTGAACCGATACAGTCCGAGGGCACCCCACACCAATACTATTATCCTACAAAAAAAGGAAAAGGTTTGAAGGTAAAGTTCACGTATTTATTCTTTTACTAAGTGCACCTATTAAAGGAATATAAGATTGCCGTAACATATTTTTTTTTCTTCTATTTATCCCTAATTATACTTTCTTTATATTTTACCTGAGTTTATGAATTATCACGTTTATTATTATTTTGCTTTTTTTATCTACATATGTATATACATACGTAGGTACATATATATATATATTTTTTTTATTTATTTTTTTTCTTTTCTTTGCGTTTGGTGAAGGTGGTTTATTAGTTAAGATATTTCTGAAGTGAAAAAAGGGATATACATACATACTGGCACATACACATGCATAAACGCTTATGGCTCAGTTATGCATACTTAGTAATACTTCTGCTTAAACTTGTACCACATGGCCAACACAAAGCTGATTATACTCCACATAGCGCATGCAATCTGGCATCTTCATCAGCTGTCTTTGAGCTGTCATTTTATTCTGGATTTTTCATTAATAGTAAAATGCCGATTAGCGTATGAGCAAATAAATTTCAGCAATCAGTGATTCTTTTGGTGATATTAAAAACTAATTTCCGCAAACTTGGATGCAGTCTTTTCTTGACTTTTTACTCCTAAACGTTCTTCGCATCTACAAACGACGGCAGAAATCAAGAAGAATCCGTCGCTGGGCAGTTCACCCAATCAATAAGGACCGAAGACCCAACGGGTACTTCATCAAAGTTTTCCTGAAAGCCAAGGAGGAAGATGATAAGTTGTTCGGTTTGGCCAGGATGAGGCGTACAATATACGACATGCTTCTGAATTTGGTGGGCCAATTCCTTCAAAACCCCAAGCAGCAAGTTAGGCCCGAAGAGCGTCTAGCAATAACAATAATATATATATATTTATATTTATATATTCATTTATTTATTTAATATTATATTGAAACCATTAGTGCATTAAGATGTAATCTTTACTTGCACAATGATACAAACAAATTGCAAAAAATAAAATAAAAAGTACAGATAATAATTAATATTACAATATAGATTAAGGTAATGTATACGTTGAATTACAAATCATATATTCTAAAATAAAACAAAGGTAAGCTTATTCACTATTCTTGATCACGCTTGGAAGAAAAAAAGTTAAATACGAGTTTTTGAAGTTGCCTATGTGCAACGCGTTCTTCAAGGACAGTGGAAGGGAGTTCCAGAGCCTTACCGCATTAATAAAAAACAGTCTTGAAGTGCATAAATTGTTAATGTAAGTAAAAACCTATTTTTACACATTCCAGGGATTGAATAAATGTATTGTAAGTTATTTTTAGTTTTTTTAAACCAAATACAATTGAAACCAATCATTCAAATCCTCTCACATTGCACATTTGTAGTTTACTATAATGTTTTACTTCTTTAATAATCGGTGTAATTATTGCTTCCATACACAAATTGGGTAAAACTACTGTACGCAATATTGTGTGTGTGAGGTGATATGGACCGCTTTGTCCCCGACATACCTCAGCGAACCGACTACATCACAATACGTGCACATTGCGCGAGATTTCCTGAAGCTCTGGAATATGCCAAATTGTGTCGGAGCTGTCGATGGGAAACATATTGCCATCACATGCCCCAACAATTCAGGGTCATTATACTACAACTATAGAAAATTTTTAGCATAGTACTTATGGCTACCTGTGATGCAAAATATACTTTTACTTCTGCTTATATTGGAAGTTACGGTGGACAAAGCGATGGAGGTAACATAGATTTTACAACTTTTGACATTTACTGACTTTATTTAAATTTAAAGGTGTTTTCCAACAAGCCGCTTTTGGACGCTCACTCCTTCAAAACCGTTTGCCTTTACCTCCAAAAACTCCTTTGTGGAATGGCTCCAGGCTGGATTTCCCTCATTTTTTTGTTGGCGATGCAGCATTCCCTTTAAAGGAAAATTTAATGCGGCCGTATCCAGGGACTCAACTACTGCAAAGCAAAACCATTTTTAATTATCGACTATCGCGAGCCCGTCGAGTTATTGAAAATAGCTTTGGAATTTTGACTGCTCGCTGTCGTATTTTGCGTAAAACAATTGAATGTTCCCCGGATAATAGTGAGAAAATTGTTTTAGGATGCCTCGTCCTCCACAACTTCATCATGCTAAATGACCATCAACGTTGGTATTGTCCTGATGACTTTGTTGATACGGACAACGCGGACGAATCCTCAGAAAATGGACGATGGCGTCTTGATCACGAGAACTCAGGAGGTCCATTACCATCGATTACATCATCTCGGCGAAACGACTACGACTGCATTCCGTCTCAGAGATGTCTTAGCAGATTATTTACAAAATCAAGGGGCAGTTCCATTTCAAATGAACAGATAAGTTAGTATCAATTATTTTATTAAACTTTTATTTATATTCTAAAAATTCAATATATTTTTGATTGCAGATTTCTAAGCTAAAGCTGAAGCGTCGGGCAAAGCTATGTTTTCGCAAGATATGGAAAGTTTTTTATTCAAATTTATTTTCGATAATTTTTTATAAAAATATAGTTCATACTACACCAAAAAACAACAAAATAAAATCTATAAACTTTGTGCAAAACTTAGGAAAATTTAATAAATTTGCAACTTTTTATTTAGATTTTTTAGAAAAATTAAAAGTATGCAGTTTTACGAGTAAAGCCCATTCAATTCTAGTATAACAAAGTGCAAGGTTAAAGATTTTTTTTTAGTGAAAGGTGCTGCTCATTTTCTCCATACAATAAATAATTATTAATTATAATTGTCGATCATACTTTATATGGAAGAACCGGCGTGAAAAAATTGCCAAAAATTAACCCGATTTTCTAGCAACTTCAACCTTGCACTTTGTTATACTAGAATTGAATGGACTTTAAAACTGCATACTTTTAATTTTACTGAAAAATCTAAATAAAAAGTTGCAAATTTATTGAATTTTCCTGAGTTTTGCACAAAGTTTATAGATTTTATTTTTATGTTTTTTTGGTGTAGTATGAACTATATTTGAAATTTTGATGAGAATTTTTTTAAGTTTGAGTTAAGTTTTAATTTTTGTGAACATCGTGCAATTTTTTTAATTTTTATTTCTGTGGTTTCTGTTATACATAGATCGCACTATATTTTAAATGAAAATTCTTAAAAATAAATCAACATAAGCTGCAAATAATATCATTTTGAAATTTGTTGCAAATGATATGTCCGATACTGTATTTAGTAAACTTTAGTAAACGCTTTTAGACCTTTATGAATCCCTCAATTATTAAAGTATTATTAAATTTACACTATTTGCTGTGTAGCACTTTGAAATACATATGTATCTACATACATAAAATTTAAAGCTGAAATACAAAGACCATATATTTAAAACGTTATAAAAATACTTTTATTTATATTAGGTACAAAACAAATTACAAGACAAGAATTCATATATGTAAGTAAATGAAATACGTACATGTATGTATATACAGTTACCCACAAAATAATAGGAGTGCGATCTTTTGATCATTTTTGAGATTTTTTTTTGGTTGAAGGTGTTTCGCATTTTTTCCATACAAAGTATGTTCGACTCTTTCTCTTATATGGAAGACACTGCCATAAAAAAAAAAAAAATTCTCAAAAATCACCGGGCTTTTTTACCAACTTGAGACTTGCACTTCGTTACACTAGAATTAAATGGGCTATAAATCTGCATACCAAAATTGTTAAAATTCTGATTAAAAAGTTTGAAATTTTGGTTAAATTTGTATACAAAGTTTTAAATTCGACTTTACATGGTGTTTGTTGAATAACACGCTACACTTTTATAAACAAATAATATTTAAATAAACAAAAAAGAAATAGTCAAAACTGGTCAAAAGATCGCACTCTATTATTTTGCGGATAACAAACAAAACAATAAACGTTACAAATTAACTTTACTTCAGGTACCGTTTTTTTTTTTTAAGAAAATACATTACTACTTCATTTACATACATAACAATGCAAAGCATTTAAAAACATTATGTTAACAACATTTCAATAACCTGTAAAGTATTGTGAAAATCGTGTTGATAAACGTTTTGGTTACTTTGTTAGCAGTTCGAAAAAAATCTAAAATAGCGAGCAAAAATGAGCAAATAGTATTTTTTCGTACAATATTCATAATGTTTGTTGTAGAATGAACTTTGTATGTTTTGCTTTATAGTTTTTGGAAATATTTGTTCACTTGAAATTCGCGATAGGGCCGATTATGAATATTGTACAAAAAAGACTGTATTACGATTTGACATTAGTCGTCAGGCTCTAATTTTAATGCCATCACAGCATTTGTGATTATTTGGATCGCTTTCGCCTGCTTCCTTTCATTCATCCCGCCAATAGATGCTACAATCATCTGGCCAAACGACCGCAAAGTTTTGTTCTCCGCCAATCGGTCCTTCTGCACCTCTTTAAACAGCTGGCAAACTTCACTAAACTCGCCGTCGTCACTCTGATCCCGCCGCTTTCTTTTTTTAAATATATTAGGCGTCGACGCCACGGGATCGCCTGAATATCTTTCAGGGTACCCTTCTTCGTTCTCATCTGCCAACGGAAGCAGAAGCGGCGATTGCGGAGATTGCTCAGACAGCGTGCTTCCATAGCTTGTGTCCAGAATATTTATAGTGCATCGAGTGCTGAAAATCGGGCATTCTATCAGTAACTATACTAAAGTAAAAGAAACCAAACTACTTACGGTCTTGGTGCTATGAACGGCTTAAGGAAAGCCATATTGGTTGAGAAGTGCCAGGTCGGCTGCGAAGCCGGCGCACTTCCTGACGGGGCGTCAAGCTTCCGCAATTCGCGGGTATATCGCTCACGTAGTGAAATCCAGCGCTTGGTACACTGCTCTTCTAAAAACGTAAAAGGATATTGTTCATACAACTCCAATTTAGGATTTTTACACAAGCCTGTCGCGCCAAGCTCCCGCGATATTGCAGCCCAAGCCGCCAACTTCTTTGCTGGCAACCTGGAGCCCACGCAGGTTTTATTGTACAGGACTTCATTGTCACGCACCAAGTCAATCAACCGCTCCTCGTCAATCATTCTGAAAATGACAAAAGTATCATTTAATAAACGAAAATTTAGCTTTTATTTAACAAATAATGCTTACTTTTTGTCAAAATCCAAAAAAGCGCCAAGCGTCTGTGCTTGATTAAATGTCAAGTGTGTGAAGAGAATTGTCAAAATCAAGTAAACAAACGCAAGTGGCATCACTAATATTAAATCTCACTTGGACTTTCCGTAGAAAATCAAAATTCAACAGACTTGCAAGTAAAGTTATGTTCGATTAGGTGTTGGCTAATCACTTTTACAGAAAATTCATTAAACAGAATCGTTATGTGACACTTCTCAAGTCAAGTCAAGTGAAGACAAGTATGCATAACTGAGGCATTATAGGTACAATTGATTGAAGTTTTTCAATTTTGTTGTTTCTTTGTTTCTTTGCTAAAGATAAATACTTAGATTTTAATTGAATCACTGAATACTGAAGAATATTTGGATTTTTGGTTGATTTGTTTGTGGAATTTTTCACTTTTTTGGCGACTGCGTTCGGAAATTTTACTAAAAAAAATAATAATAATAATAATAATATCCGCGGTTAGCGTCGAATTAGTTTTTTTTTACGAGTGAATGGAGAATCGTGAGAATAGTGAAGATACGCGGAGGACAGGCTTGGGAATTATAGCATGTGATAGGAGAGTTACTCGTAGCATTGCTAGAGCACTTGAAAACCAGGTTGTAGGATCCATATCAACGCAAATCGATACAGGTATCGAACATGCAATATATTTTCTCCCAACGGATTTTTTCAATCGTTGCTCGGCCAGAGTATTTGGGCGGTTGAGTACAGAGGTAGAACCGCGACCAGGCTGTAACATCACGAACAAAATAATAATAAACACGTCCGATAACTCACTGAGTTTCTCAAGAAAGTTGGAGGGGGTGTTAGAAATGTCGGAAGAAGAAACGGAGCGTAATGACATGGTTGAAGGTGCCGTGGGCGGAGAACGAACTCAAGCTACACAGGAGGCCGGAGTTGGAAGTCAGGGTGTTGCAGCTGAACCCATGACAAACCGTGTTGACCAGTTAGGGCAGATGATGACGCTAATAATGCAACAAAACCGTGCCATGGACAAATGCATGGACGAGATGAGAAAGATGAGGACAGACGTTTCACAGCTTAGTCACAGAGTTGCGGACGTAGAGGCATCGATGCATGCCCCTTTTGCTCCCCCTGCCCCGCCAACAACGTCAACACCAGGTCAAGATAGAGAGGGAGATAACAATATAGATAGAACAGGGCCCATAAGTTCAGAACGATACGTTAATAGGAAAAAGGTATATTTGGATCGCTTGGAACGAATGAGGGACCAATATAAACTTCCTTTCGAACAATTGTTTGCTGACTTCCACTGCTTGGTGACCGGGAATGCGCTAAAATGGTATTGGCAGATCCTGGAAGATCACGCAGAGGACAAAGACTTCGGCTATTTTGAATTAAAGTCTGAATTAGTGTCTCAGTTCAAATCAGCAGATTCGGATTATGAAGTAATTAAAGAGATAATGCAGAGAAAAAAAAATTCACAGGAAACGTTCGAAGAATCCTATTCCGAGGTCCATGACCTCACATTCCCTCCCAGAAAGAAAATCCCCGAAGCCGAGCTTGTGAAAATAATCAAAGGAAACCTTAAGCCATATTTGGCAAATTTGACCTTTGCAACTAGAACAGAGACATTAGCAGAACTCAAGAGTGAGTGCAAGCGAGCTGAAAAATTAATTAAAGAAAACAGAACCAGAAACAGGATAGTAAGCGAATTAGGGGCTAGAGATTGCAAATGGGAAAAAGAAAGTGAGTTGGCAGAAAACATAAGGTTGGAAGCTCTTAATAGAGATAGCAGGAATCGCAAAAAGTATTGGTAGCGTGCCTGGTACCGCCAATCCTCGTGAACCGTCAAAATCCAAGTCCACATCCTTTAATCCCAATCCTCATGGTGGTAGTATGTCCCAAATTGTTAGTAGCGTCCTAAGTCAAATGTTTTGCTCTTCACCCTTCCACCTCATGTTATGCTTCGCTTGTGGGATGCCGGTGGAGTTCTACATAAAGAACCTGGCAGAAGCAGCAAAGGATAACAAATGTAAATCGTTGTTCCATAGTATGAAATGTTTTGCTTGTGGTGATGATGCGTCCTTTTGTGTTTTCAAGCCCGAGGCGGAAAACCGGGCCCTGGCGGAGATGGCCGGGCACTCTACCCAGAATCAGAAGCCCCCGGAAACTTAGGTAATAGTAAAGAAGAAGTCAGAAAGTAAAGATTTTGAGGCATCAGGGTGTAAGGAATGAAAATTGTAAAGTTGATAGCTAGGGAGAATCTGTTTTTGTTCGAAAATTTTGCACGAGAGAAAAAAGTAAGATGATGAAGTTAGGAAGAGAATTTTTATGGAAGAGGTGACATCTAAGCGGAAGGGTAGGAGTTACAGAAAGATCCAAAAGATGAGGGAAAAACATCGAACG